GCTGGGACAGGGGGGAGGGGTGTTTCTGGGGTGCACTGGACGGATTCGGGGGGGTGAAGTGGGAGACTTCTGAGGCTCCTCCCAGCACTCCAAGCCCCCCATCCTCTGGGGTCCCTGGTCCCTTCTGTGTTCTGAATGGAAGGGGGGGCAGCTAAGTGTGGGGCCTGCTGAGAGGGAGCCCCTGGCGGGTGGGCGACGTGAGCTCCCAGCGCAGGAGCGAACAAGTCACCTGTGATGGCGCTCACACAGGCCCCAGGGCTGTGCCGTGGGGTGCCCGGTGTTACGTTTTCTTAACGAAAACTTACTTTTGAAATTATTGTAGATACGTAGTAAGTTGCAGGTCCCTGTGCCCTTTGCCCTGTTCCCCCATTGATGACAGACTGTGGCATCAAAACCAGGCAGTGGACATGGTGCCACCCAGACTCCTTCAGGCTCCACGCGTGGTGCGTGTGCGTGTGCTCGTGTGTGGGGTGCTCGTGTGGGGGTGCTCGTGCGTGCATCTTGTGCATGTGTGTGTGGGGGTCCTCGTGGGTGTTCTGTGCATCCGTCACAGGTGGGTGTCTAACCCTCGCGGACGGCCAGGGCACAGAGTGCTACGTCACCCACGCCCCCTCGTGCCCCGTTACAGCCCCTCGCCTGGGACCAGGGCACGAGGCTGTTCCCGGGGCCTTGCTTCTGCGAGGGCACGTTTCCTCTCGGAGGGCACCGTGAGGCTCCTGGGGGGGGTTGGCACGTGCGTGTGTCGTTCCTGGAGAAACTGCCACCTGCTTTCCTGAGCGGCTGCTGTTCCCTAAGCCTCTCCACGTCGCGGGAGACCCAGCGCCCGAGTCGCCACAGCGCGCGGCAAGTCCCTGCTGGCGCTTCAGGCCTCGGTCCGGCACTCCCGCTGGGGAGAGGACAGCCCCTCCTCGGGGGTGGGGGCCAGGGCCGGCGGGCAGCACTGGCTTCCGCGTGGCGATGTGGGCGTGGCTTCAGTGACTAGAAACTGCCGGGCGGTTTTCTGGCTTCGTGGCGGGCGGGGTGTCCTGCTGGGTCCCCCTTTGGGTCTGCCCTGCCTGTGTGTGATGTCCTTGTCTTTCTCCAGGAGCTCTTTGGGCATCGTTTGGAGCAGAGGGGGGCTGGGACGACAGTCTGTGGTCGGCTTGCAGGCTGGCCCGAGCGGGTGCCTCAGACTAGACCGGCTCCGGGCTCATTGTCATTGTTGAGCCGCAAGAACCGCCCAAGAGTTGGGAGCTGAGCAGCTTTCCCGCCGGCCACGGAGATGCAGCCTCCCCATCGCATGCCCATCGGCCGCCCTCCAGCCGCCCCGTCATCGTCCCGGCTCCGACGGCCCTGCGGCAGCCAGGGAGCATCTGTGAGCCCTGCTTCCTGTGTCAGCACAAAATAGCTCAGCAAACTGTGACTTTAGAAAGCAGTGTTATTATTTCCTCTGATCAGACATGACCGTGTTAAAGGAGAGTGAGAGAAAAGACAGGGAACATGGGAGGGGAGGGAACCAGAATCGGGTTCTACATGCGAGGGCACCGCAGGGCCGGGAGCCGCAGTGTCTCACCGCGGAGCGCTCCCTCTGCTGCGCCTTCCCCGTGCCCGCACCTGGGCCTCGCGGGGTTTCAGCTGCCACCTCGCTGATGCTGTGACGCTGACCGCACTGCTGCGTGCCGGCTGTCTGCCTGCCGTGTGGCCGCCGTGTTTCTCACCATCCGGTGCAGCATTTGTCGTCTTGCACAGCTTTCTTCATGAAGCACAGATTCCCCCGTCGGTTGTTGTTTATGGCTTTTGCCCTAAACAAACAGCCCCTCCACCTGCCCTCCCGCCTTCCAATGTGGATGAGAAAACGCCGCCCACTGGGCAGACATGGCAGGACTCTGGGGGCGGGTGTGTGTTAGCGTCTCCCACACAGGAAAGCAAGGCCCATGGCCGCGCGTGTGCTTGTGCGTAACGTGGAACGCAGCTTGATTGTCAGCAGGTCTCCTTGGCGGGGAGAACGTGCCCTGGTGAAACCACAGCGCGGGGTTCACGAGGGGTTCGCTGTGCGCCCGGGCGGGTGTCCGGCTCAGCGCGGTTGGCTCTCCGCGCTCACACGTGATCCTGAGGTCACAAGACTCACTGGTTAGTCCTTTTGCCGTTTTTGAGATTGAACTGAGTCTAGGTGGCCTGTCCGTCTGCAGTGCTCCCAGAGGCTGGGGTGGTGCTCCCGTGTCCCCGACAGCCTCCATGGCTGTGGCAGAGCCGCAGGCCCCTGGCCGGAGCGAGTCTGCTTTCTCGGCTTTAGGAGTCCTGAGATGGTTGGTCGTGGTGTGGAGGGTGTCGCCGGGGCCTGTCAGACCCGGGGGATTGTGCCCCGGGGTGCCCAGAGCTGCTCTGGATGGATGCTCGTGCTCCCGTCGGGAAAGGGCGCACAGCGCGTCTGCGGCTTGTCTCCACGGCCCCTGCTCCATGGAGCCTGGGCGGGTGGTTCCTGGTGCAGGAGCGACACCACACATGCTGGGGGGGGGGGGCTTCCTTCACGGTGACGCGCACTCAGCTCAGCAGCAGCGGACTCGGGAGCTCCGGTTCAGGGTCCGAGATGCAGATGGGGGCTGAGGCAGCTGCTGGCTCAGCTCCGGATTATTTTTGTGGTGGAATGACGAGCTTTCCCAGGCGCCGTCGCCACAGCTGGGAAAACAGTGGCGGCTCTGCAGCAGTTTCCCAGGCACAGAGCTCGCCTCCTGCTGCTCGAGCATAAACATGTCCAGTTTAGCTCTCGTCCTGTGGGCGGTGTCGGGGCCGCGGCCCTTCTCGTCTTCGCGGCCCCCCTCCGCCTGCACCTGGAGCAGCCAGGATGGCGTCGGAGCGCCCGCAGCAGAGGCCCGGCTTGTGTGTGTGCTCAGACGTAACACCCTTGGAGCTAAAAATCGCCACGGGGTTCAGTGTGACAGCGCTGCCATCTGCACCTCGCGAGGCGCCACCTAGAACCAGGAGGTTGGGCGGCGAGGCCGCTGTTCCGGGCAGGGCCTGCACTGACTGCGGGCACTGGCCGTGACCAGGGATGTGGCAGGTGCCCCCCACCCCAGGGCACAGGGCTCCTGTACCAGGTGGCTCGGCAGATGTTGGGAATGACCAGGAAGAAGGGCCTGAGACCGAGGTGGAGGCTGACCAGTCGCCAGGCGATAGACCCCGCAGTCCAGACCTTAAGCAGGGGGACATGATTTCACAGTCCAGAGGGGAGTGGCAGGGCTGGGCGGCTGGTCATGAGTTGTCTGGGGACCCGCTGCAGGGCCTGAGGGAGCCTCTCCCCGCCCCCTGCACGTCTGTGTTTGGGGCAAGGGGCAGACCAAGTGAGGGCCGACGGCTACACTTGGCAGGAGGTGACCTGGAAGCGGCCGGCATGCCCTCCTTCTCGCCTGCTGACCTCACCTTAGCGTCCGTCCTATCCGGCTACGGGCCCAGGGCCCGGTCAGACCCTGGGGGCTCTGCTCCTGGCAGCAGGAGGACTGGCATTGGATGGGAGGAGTCCTTGTCACGGGGCTCGATGGCGCTGCTTTCATGTGACTTCAGGGAAGGGCTGGGCAGGTAGACGCTCACACAGGGCGGGGGGGGGGAGGGGTTCCTCGGGACACTCAGTGGGGGAACCGGGGGCGCCAGGAGGGGATGTGAAACAGGAGCGGCCAGAACAAGCACTGGGTCGCCCGGCACCAAGCGGTGGGGCCGCTGCGTCTGTGGGAACGAGCAGTTCATGGCTCAGTCTTTGCTCGTGTTGCTGCTCTAAAGGCCTGGGGGTTCTGAGGAGCGTCCGGCTGTGGAGTCAGAACCCACACCAGCCTCCTGCCCTCACAGCTCCAGCAGCTGCTCCTCCTGCGCCCAGCCAGAGGCCCCCTGAAACTCCACGTCCACTGAGCGCCTCGCGGTGGGCTCCCCCGAGGCCCCCCGAAACTCCACGTCCACTGAGCGCCTCGCGTGGGCTCCCCCTGAGACCCCCCACCCCGAAACTCCACGTCCACTGAGCGCCTCGCAGTGGGCTTCCCCACAGCCTCCCACTGCTCCCTCGCTCGTCCACTGAGTGCCTCGCAGAGGGCTCTCCCTGAGACCCCCCACCCCGAAACTCCACGTCCACTGAGTGCCTCGCAGAGGGCTCCCCCTGAGACCCCCCACCCCGAAACTCCACGTCCACTGAGCGCCTCGCAGTGGGCTTCCCCACAGCCTCCCACTGCTCCCTTGCTTAGGCAAAATCCTGTTCTCACTTTTTTCTTTTATTGTCATAAAATGCACCCAACATAAAATGAACTCTTTTAGCCATTTTTTTTCTTTAAATATGTTTTCACTGATTTCAGAGGGGAAGGGAGAGGAAGAGAGATAGAAACGTCAGTGATGGGAGGGAATCATGGCCTGGCTGCCTCCTGCACATCTGACCGAGCTCACAGCCCAGGCATGTGCTCTTGACCAGAATCAAACCCGGGACCCTTCAGTCCGCAGGCCGATGCCCTATCCACTGAGCCACACCGGCGAGGGCCCTTTTAGCCATTCTTCGACGTAGCGTTCAGTGGCAGTGAGCACGTTCACATTGTTGTGCATCCGTCACCACCACCGTCTCCAGAACTTTCTCACCTTCCCAAACAGACTGTCCCCGTGAGCACTCGCTGCCCAGGCCCTGGCTCCCGCCTCCCCCTCCTGTCTGTGGATCTGACTCCTCCAGGGCCTCGCAGTCACTCTTGGCTCCTGTGTTTCTCTCCCGTCCCAGGAGGGTCCTGTGGGCTCCCACGGTCCGGTGGCCGCGCAGAGCGCAGCTCTCTGGGCCTTGGGTCTGGGGAGTGTGGTGAGGACAGCGTCCTCGGGCACCGTGCTTTGGCGTGCAGTCACTGGCCCGGTTTTGAGCTTCCTGCCAGATTTGGTGTGGGAGTCCATCATTTTATTTATTTATTTTTTAGTATATTTTATTGATTTCAGAGAGGAAGGGAGGGAGGGAGAGAGAAACATCACTGATGAGAGAGAATCATGATTCAGCCGCCTCCTGCACGCCCCACACTGGGGAACGAGCCCGCAACCCGGGCATGTGCCCTTGACCAGAATCGAACACGGGACCCTTCCGTCTGCAGGCCAACGCTCTATCCACTGAACCACACCAGCTAGGGTGGGAATCTGTCCTTTTAGGCGCTCGGCTTTAAGGGGGATTGGACATGTGCTGTCCGAGCTGCCCCCCCCCCCCAGGGTCGGGTAGGGGATGGAATTGTGAGACTCAGGGGACGTAGAAAGGGACTCGGGGAGCCCGGAAGCAGGTCTCCCCTCGGGCAGCTCGGGTGCTGCTGTGGGGGAGAGCGCTGTTGTGGCGGCGAGGGAGGACCTTTGCATTTAACTCCGTTTCTTGGAAGGAGCTGCTCGATGAGACCAGTGTCCTCTGAGACAGTGGCCTGCTGGGGTTTTCTCCGTTCCTGGGCCGTTTGCATTGTTGAGTCAGCGAAGAAAAATGCCATGTCGTTGGCCAGGGACGGCGTGTTCCATGCTGGGCCGGGTCTCAGGAGGACGTCCCCCGTCTCTTGTTTGTTGAAGCAGTGACTTCCCTGGAGGACCCAGTCTCCTGGGGCCTGGGCGACTCACCTGGAGACTGAGTCCACGCATCTTCCTTCAGAGCCTGTGCAAGGGCCACGGGAACCACAGACTCGGGACAGCCCATTCCTCCCAGGGGACGCAGGGCGGGAAACGGCCCGAGGACCAGCTCATTCATGGCTGTGCGGGGGGTGGGGGGTGCACAGGCTCTCTGTGTGCAAGGACCCTGCCACCCGGGGGCTCTCGTCACCTCGAGTCGCAGCTAGCGTCCTGCGATAAGCGCTCGGTGGAGGCCACCCAGGAGGACCCTTGGGATCAGTCCGTCTGGTGACCTGCATTCCCTTGGCTTTTAAACTGGTATTTCCAGGCGGGATCCGCACTCACTGCTCAACAGCAGGAGTCAGATCCGTTGGAGAGCTGATGTTTTCTGGGTGTGTGACAGCTGCAGCTGCAGGCGTGAGCACACACTCACCTGCCCGCCTGAGGTGGGGGGGGGGGGGGCAGGGACTGTCAGACACCCCGGACCTTTTACGGGGCTCTCCCAGGCCTCGTGCTCCCGGAAGCTGGTTCAGTGCATCCGGGGCAGCCTGTGGGGGCCCCGCTGCTGTCCCGGGGCCACCCCACCTGATGGACAGACCTGCCCACTTCTCGGGACCCCGCCTGCGGACTCCCTGACTGTCCGGAGCTGCAGCTGTCCCTGCAGGACTGCGGGTTGTGCTTGTGCTGACAGCCAGAACCTTCTAGAAGAGTGAGGCCGCGTGGAACATTCTGCCCAAGGATGGTGCAGCAGGGCTCAGACCCCCAGAGATGCCGCCGTGTCCAGGGCTGCGGTGAGATGTTGGCCTCTAAGAGCTCTCACGTGAGTGAGGAGCCGCATCGCGCAGGAGACTTTACGGGGCTCCGTGAGCCCCACCCGCCCCGGGAGGGAGCTGCTTCGAGAACCTGGAGGCACCAGCACACGAGTTTTATTGACAGAGCTGAGCAGTGCCAGCCACCACTGCTGTTACCTCTTTACATTTTACCCAGAACTGTTCTCACGGCGTCCTCACTGCTCCACTGTCCCCGCGAGCTGGAGCGTCTCGCCGTGTGCCCGGAGCCGCCCTCGGGGCCCCTCCACTCCGTTGCTGCAGAGACTGCGTCCAGTTGGAATGGAGGGAGCGATGGTGCCAGGCAGCCTGAGCGCACAGGTGTCACTCTCACCTGGGGACCAAAGGCACTGGGCACGCACGCAGCCTGCGGACACGGACGGGGCAGTGTCAGCTCAGCCTCAGGCTCCATTTCTCCTGAGGGGCAGGCTCCTCGCGAGCTGCCTGGCACGAAGGCGCTCCACCAAAGCGCCCTCCTTGCTGCTGCCGTGAGACAGTCTGCGCGGAGAGGGCCACGCGGGTCCCAGGCCTGTGGCATCCGTGACTGCCATCGGGAGCATGGTGGTGGCCCAGCTCTGCAGCAGCTGGTGCAGGTGCCCGAGAGCCCGAGGGTGGCAGCACTCCAGCTGGGAGAGGCCCTGGCATGCCCTGACCCCCTCGGTGCCCTCGCCCGGGCGGTGCTGAGTGCGGGAGCAGCTCCCGTCACGCCACGCTGCTGAACCTCACCTCTGGCTGCTCGGCGTCCGGAACAACGGCCTTCAGGGCCGCGTGGCAGAAGCGATTCAGGGCCGACACGCTTGTTCTCTGCTCCATGTACAGACGCAGCTTGAATCTGAAGGTCTCCCCAAGGAAGCTGTAGATGAGGGGGTTCAGGCAGCTGTTGGAGAAAGCTGCGAGGTTGACAATGTGGCCGGTGAGGGGGTAGGCATGGCGGAACGACTGTTGGCAGGGCTCGGCGCCCGGCTGCGCCTGCTGCAGGAGGTGCACGCTGATGAACACGTTCTCGGGCAGCCAGCAGATGAAGAAGACGAGGACCACGGCCAGGATCATGCGGAGCGCCTTCTGCCGGCGCGGGCGCAGGCCCCGGCGCCTGTGGGCCTTGACGAGGACCCGGGCGATGAGCGAGTAGCAGAGGCCGATGATGGCAAAGGGGAGGATGAAGCCCAGGGTGACCTCCAGCCACTGGATCTCCCTGACGTCTGCGAAGCAGAAGCAGGCGTCCCCGGAGTGCTGCAGGTGCGCCGCGGTGAAGGGCACCAGCGTGGCCGAGACCGAGGCCATCCAGATGAGGCCGCAGCTGAGCCGGGCGTGCTGCTTGGTGCGGAACAGGCCGCAGCGCATGGCCTGGGCCAGGGCGAGGTAGCGGTCGAAGCTCATCCAGGTGAGGAAGAAGATGCTGCTGTACATGTTGATCTGCAGGAAGAGCGACATGAAGGTGCAGAGCACGGCGATGTCGTAGTACTGCTCGTCCAGGTTGAACACCTCGATCAGCGAGTCGGCCACCAGGATGAGGTCGGCCGCCGCCAGGTTGATGAAGTACAGGTCGGGGATGCTCATCCTCTCCCGGGAGCTGAGGTTCACCACCAGGATCAGGATGTTCCCCACGAAGCCGATGGGGAAGAGGAAGACGGTGTAGAGGCAGGAGAGGAAGAGCCCGATGGCGTACTGTGGGTGCGGGGGCGCCGCCAGCTCGCCTGTCTGGTTTGCCAGTGCCCTGCCGGCCAGCACGCGGGACAGGTTGAGCGCCACGGGGGTGCTGTCGTAGGCTCCGGGGTCGGTCTCCATGCCAGAGACGGGCGCTCGGGGGGTCATGCCCACACCTCCACCACGTGCGGCCTTCAGGCTCTGCCGCGAGGCTCTCGGAAACCCGTCTTAAGCAGCACATCCATCTTTAGAAAGAAAGGTGCCGTCCTCAGAAGTGAGCCGGGCGTTGCTCACTCGGAGCCCGTCAGCAGGAGCCTGGCGGCCGGGGTCTGCTCTGCAGGAGGAGGCGGGCGGCGGGCGGGCTCTGCACGACCCGCTCCTGCAGGCACCTGGGAGCAGAGGGGCACGGTGCGCCCTCCACCCGTCATTCTGCAGGCAGGTGCACTGTGGGTGCGGAGGGCTCCCTGCAGGTGTGTCTTCTGGGAGGACAAGTGCTGCTGAGCCGAGGCAGAGAAATAGACGCTCCCCGAGGGCTGGCTGCGGCGGACGGACAGTGAGTCAGCCTCACCCGGAGCCTCTGGCGGTCCAGTGGCAGCTTGTGAAGTAATGTGCAGACGGGTTGGAAATCTTCGGAAAACTACTGTCTGTCAGGAGAGGAGATAAAATTTATGTTGGCAGCCGTTGGAAAGAGGAATAAGCAGGAAGGGAAAAACCCAGCTTTTCTGAAAGACTGGATCCCAGGCGCCGTGGGGAGACGGGGTAGAACCTCTTCTCTGACAGGAAAGTGATCCAAGAAATCTCGCTTCCTTGCTAAGCCTCGCACTAAGTTTAGATGCCGAAAATGAAACTTTTTTAAATAACATGGCATGAAAGACAAACTAAGGAATGAAAATGGTAATTGTTTTAGGGAACACTATTGAAATTGTATTCAGTGTGTTGACAATTACTGTCACACCTAATATGCTCTGTAATGCTGTTTGTAACCTAGCAACTCGGTGACCTGGAAGTGGGCAAGGCAGCCGCCCTTTCAGCCGGCTCTGGGGGCTGGCGGCCGGCTGCTGGCCGATGCGGGCAGCTCTGTGGAAACTGGGGCTTCGGGTCTGCACTTCACTGTCGTCGTCCCCCCCCCCCCTTCTCTGTGGGTCGGCTAGTGCGGTATTAGGTCACAATGGGGAGGAGTGCCCCCCCCCCCCCCCCCCCCCCCGGCAGTGGGCAGGCCCCACAGCACACAGGACGGCCCCACCCAGGGACCCAGGGAGGGACGCGCTGCTCGAGGGCAGAGAAGCCCAGAGGAACCGGCTGGTCCCACTAAAATGGATTTGAATTGTTGATTTGAGAGTTTTCATTTAACCCCAGGAGGCCATGAGGAACCGATTCTGAAGAGTTGCCAACCCAGACTAGACATTCCTAGACCTCGCGCTCGAAAATGCTGGAAACTAAAGAGAGAGCAGCCCCTCTGCCCAGCTCTATGTTCAGGACCCTTTGCGTGGCGATCGATACATTTGATTTTAGTCTGTGTTTTTAGAGCCTCTTTTATTTCTCTGTAAAAACTGCCCTGGCTGTTTGCTTTGCTCTTTAAATGTGGGAATCCTGAGGAGTGTTAGGCGGCTCTTGGGGGAAGCGTGAAGGTGAGTGGGGTGCGGCGGCACCGGCCTCCTCCTGCGTCGGCACAGAGGCTGCGAGGGAACCTCCACCCAGGCTGTGTCTAGGAGGAGGTGCAGGGACGGGGCTGGCCGCGAGCACCCACTAAAGGGTGGGGAGCAGTAGACGGGGTGCGCCATCGGGTGGGCCCCACTGCTTGTCCATCGAGAGAAGCCAGGCCACATTTTGTCAGACCCATTAGGCTCGCGTCCTTGTAAAGGGAGTCAATCACTGGCGCTTTCTGGGTCGGGCAAGCCTTTTCATTAAAGGAGGACAGAGGGCTGTGCTGGCCGGCGGGGCTGCGGGCGCTGCCTGTCCTGTGGGCGCCGGTCCTCACTGGGACACGGGCGAGAGTTGGGATGCAGCCCGCACACCGAGCCTCCTGCGTCACACCGACACCATGAGAGCTGAGTTGGGGTTTTCTCCCATGGAGCCTGGCTCTACCCAGAGGTTGGGGGCCCCTGGCCCCAGCTGGTGCCCAGTCTACCCATATCCGTGCCCAGCTGCTATGGGTAAAAAGGAGCTAACACCTTTTTAGCTCCAAGGGTGTTACGGCTGCGCACCCACCTGAAGGCAGAGCCAGGAACCCAGACAGACTTACCTGTGCCGCAGCCGGTGCCCGCCCGTGCCCCTCTGAGCAGACCCCCCTGTCCTGCAAGGGCTCCTGGCCAGCCCAGGTACTGTGCTCACGGCCGCCGGCCGCACGCGGGAGGAAGGCTGGGGCCGCGTGCAAGCGGAGGTGCCTGTGGTCCTCACGGAAGCCGAAGCGTCGCGGCTGCAGCCGGGGAGCAGCCTTTATATCTGCAGGCTCTGGGGCTGGGCCGCCCATGGGCTCTGGACGCTGGGCAGCCTCCCTCCGCTGGAGGCCTCCCTCCCAGAAGGCCAGGGTTAACCCTTTTTCTGCCGGCCTTTTTCCTCCCGCACTGGCAGTGAGCTCAGGCTTCAGTTCCACTGCCTCCTTCACCCACTGATGCAGTTTTTTTTTACTTTGAAGGGATTGTAAATAGGTTGTCTGTCCTTTAGATAATAACCTGTCACCATTTGTTGAAACTTTAAATAGTCTTGCTTGTTTTAGCAACTGACTGGCCTTAAAACTAAACACTAAATGTTCTCAGCTTGAAGATAGCATGTGAATTATATGCAGAGACTTTACCTGGGAATTGCATAGACATTCGCAGAAAGAAACTTAAATTTAAGAAATAGCAGGTATTTTGGCAAGTAAATGAGGAATTGGATTTGTTTTTCGGCTCTCGATGTTAGCCATGTCTCAGCTCCCCCTCCCCTTGCTGGCAAGCCACCTGTGTGGACCTGAGACCTCCTCCCCCCACGGCCGGCGCCTGCCTGAGGGACCAGGATAGAGTTAGCTCGGTTCCCAGTGCCCACCTGCTGGTGGTCAGCATGGTACCTGGAGAAGGGCTGGCAGAGCGGGGCCAGGAGGCCGATGGCCCAGGCGTCCAGGCATGTGGGGTCAGGGTGCAGGGACTGAGGGCCCTCGTGCGCCGCGTTCGGCGGTTTCGTAAACATCACATCTTAATGGGTCTCCTCCTTCCTGCCTGGTGTCTTTTTACCTTTGCAGTTTGTTGAAAGCAGGCGGTTGCCCTCTGGTGATCTTTTGCGAACTGAGCACGAATCATCAGCTGCTGCAGCACCGGCACCACAGCCGCGTGCGCTTCCAGGGACGCAGGCCGTTAGGCTTGATGCCGGCCGGACAGGCACGGGCACTGAGTCCTGCAGCCCAGGCGGCCAGAGTGCGCGCCCAGCTTCCTGTTGTGCACGAGTCGATGGCAGATGCGCTGGGAGGCCTTCTGCACAATGATAACCACCATCGCTCAGAGACGGGTTCCGGGAAACACAAACCTGTTTGCAACAGAGAATTCTGCGTGCGTTTCTATGGAAAAGCACTGACGCCGGTCCTCCCAGCCTGGGGTCCCACATGATGCCAGTGTGAGCTTCTGACCCTCCAAGGGACGCGGTCGCGCAGGGACGGTCGGATTGTAGGCACACCTCGGGCCGCAGCGACGCCAGGCGGTCTCGGCACTGCCGCCTGAGCCACCATTTAGAGGGAAGGGAGCCCCGAGAAAGTCCAGCTTCCTCTGCAGCTAAGTAAATAAAGCGAAGCCAAACCTTGAAATAGCCAAACATGTCCCTTAAAATAGCTGCTTGCCACTCGCGCTCCCTGGCCTGTCCCAGCGCTGCCCGGCGGCTCCGGAGGCCACTGTGCCTTCGCGTTTGCCCTGGGTCCCCTTTGGGGTGATGGCCCTGTGGCTGGTCCCCAGTTCTGTGCTTGAAGCTGAAATCAGCTGAACGGGGGCGGCCAGGTCTTGGGCCCGTCTCCTGGAGCTCTGGGTGGCTGCGTGACCCGTCAGCCTGCCCAGAACTGGGAGTGGGAGGGACGGCAGCGTTAGGGAGTGCAGTCCCCGGGGCCCAGGTGAGTCCGTGTGAGTTCACACGGGTGGCGCACACCAGGCTCTGCCCTGGGGGAACCATCCAGTTCCCGGGCTGTTTATGGGCGGGATGTTCTGGAATGTCAGGCTAAAATCTGGGGTCCTGGTCCCGGCCCCACCTTATGTGATCGCCAAAGCTGTGTCCTCAGGGAGGGCCCCAAGAGCCACACAGGAAGTGTCCCCCTCCCCCCTTTTATTTTAAATATGTTTCCATTGGTTTCAGAGAGGAAGGGCGAGGAAGAGAGCTAGGAGCATCAATGATGAGAAAATCATGGATCGACTGCCTCCCACGCCGTTAACGTTAGGCTTGTGGTCTGTGTTCTTGGGCTGGAGAGCCTCCGTGCTGAAGCAGGTCCTGCGTGGGCTCCAGTTCTCGGGCCCAGAGCTGTGTCCTGGCTCGTCCTCTACAAGCTCCCGTCCTCAGGGAGGGGAACTGGACCAGAGTCGCGCGGTGCATCCCTGCAGGGCCAGCCGGCCGGCAGCTGGGGCCTAGGAGCCAGGACGTGGTACTGTCAGCTCCCGACCGTCCACCCCAGCAGCAGGCTCCTCGCATCTCACATGTGGGGCTCGGTGTACAGAGAGGACCCCGCTGCCAGAGAGAGAAGGTCCGAGAGCCGACGGTTCATTCCGTGGCTGGTTCCCCAGCTGCTCCCTCGGCTGAAATGCCTAGGAACTCGGGCCGGGCACACCTGCGCTTCAGGCCTCGCGCAGCCACTCCCAGCAGCCCCAGTAGTTCTGGAACCAGTCTGACGAGGGCGTCTGCTGCTGTGGTTTCATAAATTAATTCAGGCCCTTCCACTCCTGGCCGTGCACGAGTCACAGGAGGGAACCGTTAAAAGTCAGATAGAACAAAGAGACGACTGTTTTCAGACAACGGGCAGTGCCCCCCTCCCAGGCCTGTCCCGCTGCCCAGGGTGATGGCCCACTGAGGGGCGGCCGTGGAGAGAAGGGGGTCCTGGGCTGAGTGCGCCCTCAAAGCATGAAGCCCTGCGGCTGAGCTGGGGCGGCCTGCTGGAGGGGAACCCCAGGTTGCAGGGGGCTGGCCTGTGGTCCAAGCCCACCAGCCACACGGGACATCTCACCCCAGAAGAGGGAGGCCTGGCGGCCGAAGCTCAGCCACAGCTCAGGAGGTCCTGCTGGTCTGCCTGCCAAGCCCACGCAGTGCCCTTCAGAAGGCAGTCGAGGTCAGACCCCGGCGGGAGAACGGTCCACCTTCTAATAAAGACGACCACGGGGGAAGGAGCGGCTCCCGTCTGCCCGGTGCTGGCTGGCTGTGCGGATGCCCCTGCTGGGAGGGCCTCCTCCTGCCCTGCCTCCCGCCTCCTGCTCATCGCGGGCCTGCTGGGAGCCGACCTCAGCCGCATGCTTACGGTGAAGGCTTCATGAATATGTGAGCAGAGAAAGGCGAAGTACAAGGAGAGCTTTTGGAAGCATTTACTATTTTAATGTATGTACAGAAGCCATTGAAATGGCTAAGACCCAAATCCTTCAGAAGGAGGGATGCAGCTGTAGACGTGGAGAAGGGGGCTCACCCAGGCACGGGTCTGTCCTCAGTTTGCAGGTTGATGTTAAAGCATCCATTAAATACACACCCACGCAGCGGGGTACCAGCTGTCGCCGTTCAGAGACATGGAGGGACGCAGGTGCGTGTGACTCGGAAGGAAGCCAGCCTGGGGGCTGCCGCCGTAGCTCCAGCTGCTTGGTGGGCGCTGGGAGAGGCGAGTCGCGGGGACAGCAGGGTGCGGCTGGTGGGGGCACGTGGACTTAGCACCATGAATGCTCCCGGTGCTGGGCAGGGAGTCTGACAGAAAGAGCGGGGCTCTCCAGGGCAGTGTCCCGGCCAGAGGTGCCTCCCCGCACGTCTCTGTTCAGCCAGGAAACTCGGGGTGCGCCTCAGAATAAGACTGCTGCTGGGCTCGGTGCTTTTGTGTTTCCTATGCGACTGCCTTTCTGCAGATGCTACAGATAGAAGAGGCCTTTGAAACAGCTGCTCCCTGGGCCGCCCAGAGCGCCCGCCAGGCCGCCGAGGCGTTTGCCTTGCGCCACAACAGCTGCGTCCCTGCTCTAGGCCTGTGGGTGACTTCTCAGACCTGCGATGGCGACCCATTGGAAACCACAAAACAGCCCTTCCTTGTTCTTGGCAGCCGTGAGGTAGGGCAGGATTGTGATGTGGCCACCAGCTCATTAGCATCATGTCTTTATCTTCGAGATGCCTTCCTCGTCATCCCCCTTCCCAGCCAGATACGCCCCCCCACCAGCGTCCCCAGGCTCCCCGGCCGGACTTGCGGGGTGTGGGTGTCGGTTTGGGTCAGGGGATCGCACTTTGGCACAAATTGGGCTGAAGGCCAGAAAGCGAGTTTTCAGTAGGTGCCTCCCAAGCAGGGGGTCCCGACGCCCCACAGAAGGTGTGCACTTCCGCGAGCCGTATCCCTCACTGCAGGCAGGGCGACTCGGCACCCACTGGTGTAAGGGGGCGCCGCCGGCCTCTCTTCTGCGGCAGGCAGGGCAGAGCCGCCAGGCAGGGTCCGCAGCGCCCGCCTGCAGGGCTGGTGGAGGAGGCGGGTGCCAGGCCGTGGTGCTGCCCTCCGCACCCAGCACCAGCTCCCCAGGCTCATGAGCAGCTCGTCCCTGGGGGACCCCACATCCCACTGCAGTTTGAGCCGGGCTTGCAGGAGCGCCGCGCTGTGGAGCAGGCGGCAGGAGAACGTGGCCAGGGCGATGGCCGGCACTGCCGGGTGGGCAGAGCCCAGGTCCCTCGGGGGCAGAGCAGCCCGCCAGGCCCGCTGGGCAACCAGCAGGGTGAGGCGTGCCAGCTCCAGGATGAGCGCGAGCCCGAAGCCCAGGCTGACGTTCACGATTTCACACTCGGGCCAGGCGGTCAGCAGGTCCAGCTGGCACAGGACGGTCCTGTGCAGCTCCCGGGCATGCCCAGCAGGGCCACCACTGCCAGGGAGCTGCAGAGGGCACAGCCCCCCAGGGCCGCCAGGCCCCCCACACGCCTCGGAGTCACCTGGGTGGCCAGGTATAGACAGGATGGGGGGTCCTGCAGCAGGAACACGAAGAGCATCGCCAGCTGCACGTACTGGGCATTGAAGTAGCAGGTGTTGGACAGGAAGGAGAGGGCGGCACAGCCCAGGTGGGTGGTGGCCAGGTAGTCGGCCGGGTGGCGACGGTGAGCGAGAGCAGCGTTGCCAGCACGTTGGTAACCGTGAGGTCCACGAGGAACATGTCCAGGCCCCCAGCCTGGCGCGGCCCCAGATGAAGGTGGTCAAGTTGAACAGTGCAGTTGCCAAGCTCACAGACCCACGCAGACCTGCACGCACCTGGCGATGGCGCCCTGCGAGGCCATGACGCCCTGCACTGCCGGGAGACGCGGCTGGGGTGCCGGACCCAGGACATGTGGGGGGGCCATCTCAGCACACGGCTGCAGCAGGCACCACAGGGTGATGGAGCCTGGTGGTGACTGGGGGTTCTCTCCCCCTCGCCCTCTCCATACCCTCCCCCCACACTGCTCCTTACACTGTAACTAAGCAGACGAGGCTAGGAGGTAGCTTTGCTGTTTGTCCACAGGAAACTGAAGGCAGTGAGATGGGAAACTTAATTCTACAGGAATACTCGGGGCGTCCGTGTCCCTGCGGCCGGTGGGCGGCCAGGCTGCAGACCCGGGGTCGGGAGTAGCAAGGGCGTACAGCCTGTCCCCGAGCGGCGGCTGGACTGTGTCGGAAAGCCTGGTCCTCACACACACAGGCTGTTGGGTGTTGCTGTGGGCTTTTCTCTCTGTGTTGTGGGAGGTGGCATGTGGAGCCAGAGCAGCCATCCCAGGGGACTGCCTCGCTCGTCTTGTTCCTCGAAGCTTTGGCCTGGGCCAGGCACGGTCGTGTCACAGCTGCGTGTCACGTGAGCAGGACAGCGGCACCCTCTCCCCAGGACCCAGGGTGCGGACTTCGTGTCTGACGCAGCCACCAGCTGTGTGTGGCCACGAGTCGCCCGCTCCGCTTGGGGTGCCAGTGGGAGTCCTTGCTCCTTTCAGGCACCCACCCTCCTTCCTCGTACAATGCCCATCTCCTCCCGGGTCAGGCAGGGCCTGGGTTCTGCGCGTCTGCTCCCGCATCACAGTCCCTTGATCCCAGTGAAACCTCACCCTCTGAACTGGGCTTTAGGGCGACGGCGTCATGGGCACCCGCTGTGCCTGTTAGGTCGGAACCCTGCTCCCTGGACTGACCCTGCGTCCCCAGGCCGCGCCGGGCGGGACTCACACTGCTGCGGGTGATGGTCTCCATCTGCCTGTGCTCAGGTGGTGAGCGGCGGCCCAGACAGGAGCAACGCGGAAATTAAGACGAGTGACCAGGCCGAGAGGAAGCCGTTTGTAATGTCTCCTTAATTAGGGTGAATCGGAAGGCGCTTCTGAGGACATTGACGGTCGGTCAGGAAACAGCATTAGGCCGTCCCCGTGTCCGGACTCTGCAGCCACCGCGGTGCAGCGCTTCCTGGGCGCTGTCGTCGCCCCCACCCTCCCTCGCCTGTGGCCGTCAGCTCTGCCATCTGACGTGGTCAGCAGGGTCACCCCCCAGTGGATGGAGACGCGCGTGTCCTGGTCTGGCCTCAGCCCGATGGGCAGGCTTGTGGGCTGTCTCTTGCCTTGTTCTACGCTTTCTCCAGAGGCGAGGGGTCTGCCGGGGGGAGGTCCAGCTGGACCGTGTCTCCTCCTGCCCCCACCCATAGTGACAGGCCATGGCCTCAGGGTCCACAGATAGGACCCACCTGCTGGCCAGCGTGGGCCACTAAACTCCGATGGCAGCCCCCTTTACAGCAGCGCCACACAGGCACCTGGCCCAGGGTGGGCGCCAGGCACGGCTGCTGACAGGCATGGCTCTGCCCTCCTGCATGCCCGGTCCTGCTGCGGCCTCTCACCCATGCCCAGCTCTCAGTTGGAACAGGCCGGACCCCCAGGAGCCAGAGGTGATGCTCAGGGGGGCTTGGCAGGAACTTCATCTGCCGTGCTGGACCCCCTCTCTGCTCTCCACCACTTCTGGATTTTTCTTGGAAAGGTAATAGGCTTAGTCCCCAGTCCACACCCCCTTCCTGGCTCCTTTATACCCTGGGCTTCTCTGGCCTTGACCGGCTTCCCTCCAGCCAGTGCAGCGGCCCAGGGCGCTCCTGGGAGGCGAGGCCTTGGTGACATCAGCAGGCTGGCTGAGTTCTCCCCAGGAGCTGGCGCTGATGAAAGCCTTTCTGTGGGAGCTCATCAGACACCGCGGGGATGGGGGACCCCCCTGACAGCGGGGTGCTTGGTTGCAAATGACAGCATCTAGGCCTAACCCTAGATGGTTTGGCTCAGTGGATAGAGCGTCGGCCTACGGACCAAAGGGTCCTCGGTTCGATTCCAGTCAAGGGCACGTACCTGGGTTGCAGGCTTCTCCCCATCCTGGGCCCTGGTCAGAGCTCGTGCAGGAGGCAACCCATCGATGTGTTGCTTTCACATCCATGTTTCTCTCTGTCTTTCCCTCTCCCACTCTCTCAAACCAATGAAAAAATACCCTCAGGTGAGGAGTAACGACGACAAAATATTTACACGCAGCACAGCTTCCTGGTGTGGGTGTGTCCTGCACAGGCATCTAGTCACAGAGCCACCCCTCTGGTCCTCTGGTCAGTCCAGTCCCATCCTCCACCCCAGGCCCGCAACACTGCTTTCCGTCCCTGTGTCTGACTTTCCCAAAATGTCCACACGTGTGGGCTTTGGCGTGCACGGAGCCTCGCCGTGATGCGTGCCAGAGCCTCATTGCTGGGCAGCCTTGGACCATGTGGATGTCGCGTGCTGGCGTGTCTGCTCACCCGCTGAGTGCCGTTGGGCCGTTATGAAAACAACTACTATAAATATCTGCATGCAGGTTTTTATGACAAACTAGAGGCTCAGTACACCTCGGCCTGGCCCGTGCCCTCTCACAGTCCGGGACCCCTTGGGGGATGTCTAAGGCCCGGTGCCTGGATTCAGCCCCATCCCCGCAGGCCAGGCTGAGGGACCCCACCCATTCATGCACCTGGCCCGTTTTGGCCCGATCTCCACAGGCCAAGCCGAGGGACCCCGCTGGTGCATGAATCCGTGCACCGGGCCTCTAGTATGCACATAAGATCTTTGGTTAATCTCTTCCCGCCCTCCCCCCTCCCCCCTCCGCTCTGAGATTCATCAGTCTGTTCTACGTTTCCATTCCAGTGCATTGAGCGTCTGCCCCCTGGTGGTCAGTGTGCATCATAGCTACCGGTCAGATGGTCGCTTAGGCTTTTATATAGATAGATGTTCGGGGTGAACCCGAGTGAGGCTGCGGGTTCTTACAGGGAGGTGTGCTCCACTGTACAAGTAGCCGTGGGGTCTTCATCAAGCCCGCCGGCCCTGGAGGCCTGTGCTCACTCCAGCCGAAGCGGTCCTGCCAGTTCGGTCCCCGGGAGACGGGCCGAGCCTCTGCTGCAGACCCTGCGCTCGTCCAGCCAGTTTCAGGCCCGGATCCAGGGCTTCGGGGCCTCCTGAGGGACAGCAGGGCTGCCCAGGCCGTCCCGGTCCCCTGGGAGCTCCTGAGCCAGAGCCGGAGAATGTTGTGTTCTTTCCAGCAGCTCTTGGCTGCAGCGCCTTCATCGTCTTTCAGACTAGACTGGCTCTAGGGAGCGTGGGCCTCCCCAGACAGGGGCACGCGAGAGCTCTGGCCTGGTGACGGGACGGGATCGGTGGTTTCCGTGGGGTGGGGTGGGAGCAGGGACGAGGTTGGCAGGTGGGGAGGGCCAGCTTCCCTCTGGCCAGCTCCTCCCTCCTTCCCTGTTCCTCTGGCTCTTTAGCGCCTCCGGTCTTGGCTGCGTCAGTGTTTCCAGGGCAGTCCCTCTGCTCCCTGAGCCTAGGAGCCGAGCGGCCTGATGCGTCACCGTGTCTCGAACGTGGCTGTGCCCCGCGTGGTCTGAGCCAGCTTTACGCTGCTGCAGCGGGCGTGACCTGCCGAAGTGAAGGTGGCGTGGGGCGTCTGGCGCTCTCCTCTCGGCGTCACGCAGACTTGCCAGGGGTGCGGCCCGAGCCCGACTGCTGAGCGGTGTTGGGCTGTGGGCGCAGCCTTGGTTTGTCCATTTGCTGTTTGAAGGACGTTTGAGTTACTTCCAGGTTTGGGCTCCGT